AGCTTTATCAAAGGAAAGTTTTAGTCTGGTAGTTGGTTCCACAGGAGAGGAGCCTGATAACCAAATGATCAACCAGCCTGGATCTCGCTCTGCTATTAACATGCAGGCTTTTTAACCAATGCATCCTGAACGTTTTCCCAGCATGCATTGTGGTTCAGCGGCCTGTTATAGCCCCTCCCTCCTGGCAGTGGATGTCCTGACCTGATTCGAGGATGCTGGAAGCCATCAGTGGTGCTGCTTTCTCTCAGCTCCTCTCCGGTCTTCAGCTCAGAGGACAAGCTGCGAGTTTTCCACTCATCCTCCAGCAGAACCAGCTGGAACAGAGCAAAAGAAAATAGATCGACTTTCTCATTATCTCTGTTTTTAGTTGCAGTCTGAACCCGTTTCCATCAGAGCAGCTGATCATCCTCTCAGGACGCCTTCATCTGATCTTCTATCACATCAGAATGAATCAAAGGTGCTTTTTACCTCCTGCTGAGCGTAGTTCAGTTTGTAGGCCCTCTTCACTGCTGGATCAAAGATGCTCTGCGGTGTCCACACTCGGACCTGCAGGAGGCCCATGTGGACCCAGAACGCCCCGCTGTGGGCCGGCACGCCTCCACCTTGGACCCTGCCCTGGACAAACTGCTGGAGGCAGGCCATGCAGGCTCCCATCAGGCCGTCAGGCAGCAGGTTTGGAGGCAGGAAGTTCCTCAGGACCGTCTGGATCTCCTGGGAGGCGATGAGAGGGTCCGGGTCCTCCACTAGGCTCTCACAGCTCTCCATGTAGCCCTCCTGCATGTTGGGAGGCAGCAGGTCTGCCATGCTCTGAAGCTGCCGGCGCAGGACGGCCCCCTGCAGCCGGAGGTCTGTAGCCCTGAGGAGACACAGGTGCCATGGAGTCAGAGGAGGGGACATCTGAGGGGACGATGAGGAGTCTGGAGGAGGGGTACCTGAAAGGAGCTGCAGCAGGGAAGGCCATGTTGTCCCACAGCACGGAGGAGACCACCTCCAGCTGCTGGAGCCGCTCCTTCCACTCCCCGAGGCAGACATGAGACGAGGCCAGCAGGGCCCCGGCCCCCGGCTCCATTCCACCGCTGCTCCCACTGCTGCTCAGCACTCCCAGAATGCAATGGGACCACACCGCTGTACCCAGCACAGCTGGGCCCTGAAGGCAACATCACCAACATTTTAACAACCAGATGGAAATTCAATTTTCTAGGCAGAAAGTTGAAAAACAGGCAGAACCTTGATTCCTGCTGCAGGACGCCGCTTCAGGCCCGGCTCGGTCTCTGGATGCACGGGGTCCCATCTGAGCCAGCGGTCAGGGTCAGAGGTCACGCTGCAGGTCCAAAGGGCAGCCAGGGCCTCGGAGAGCAGCTCACACCACACCAGGGGCAGCTTCTCCAGCAGCTGCAGACATGTTGGACACATTCAGGCTGCGTTCACACTGCAGGCCTTGATGCTCAATTCCCATTTTATTGTGAAATCCGATTGTTTTTAAACGGTCCTTCACATTTTCAAATATATGCGACTTGTATATGATCTCCTGTGTGAACTGCATTCATATAAGTTGAGTTTCCCACATGCGTAGCAGAGGACGAGATGACGGCATAAGCGAGCTCGCTCTGTGTTTACGGAAGTAAACATGGATGATCGTGCTGGATTAGGGCTGCAACTAACGATCATTTTGCAAATCGATTATCCATCAATCCATTTTCCATCACTCTTATCTGGGGTAGCGAAGGGTGCTGGTGCCTATCTCCATCTGTCTCTGGGTGAGAGGCAGGGTCCACCCTGGACAGGTCTACAGTCCATTACAGAGCAACACAGAGACACACAACCAATCCCACCTAAGGAGAATGTAGAGAAGCCAATTAACCTAACAGTCATGTTTTTGGACTGTGGGAGGAAGCTGGAGTACCCAGAGAGAACCCACGCATGCTCAGGGAGAACATGCAGACTCCATGCAGAAAGACCCCGGGCCGAGAATTGTACCCAGAACCTTCTTCCTGCTGCGCCACTGAGCAGCAAATCGATTAATCTCTTGATTATCTCTTAATTGATTAATATTTGGATAGCCAAAGCTTCTTTAAACAAGATTTCTTAACTAAATTAAACCAGGTGAAACTAAGACTTTTCTACTTGAGGAGTTCTGGATAGAGCAGATTGACCAACATTTTTTTTTTATATCTTAAATGCAAAATGTTTTTTCAATATTTTTTATTTTTACAATCTAATTATAGATTATAATTATAATTCCTGCCCTAAGTGGGTCACTAAGTGGGTCACCCTGTCAGCTAAATAATCGAAAATAAAACTGCTCTCCGCATCATCGTCCGGCATGGTTGATGACCTTTATCCAGTATTAATGCCATTCAGATCAGATGAATGCCACCAGATCGCATTTAAAAAGATCAGATTCATATCGGATTCAGGACCACAGAGCCAAGTAGCCTGGGTTGCATTGGAAAAAAATCAGATCCGTGTTGTTCAGACTGTCATAAAAAGATCAGATCCAGGTCGCATGTGGCCGAAAAATAATGGGATCTGGGTCACTTCAGGCTGCAGGAAACTCCTCCAAACAAAGAACCTCCTCAGAACGTCCACAGCCAGAACCTGCAGACCGCCTGCTTCTTTCTGTTCAACACGTCCTGAATAAATATGGACTCCACCAGTAAATAGGCCTCCTGACTGGAGGATCACTAACATGTTTAGGTTGGGGGGGGGAGCATCCTGCTGACTCCTGCTGCTGCAGACACTTTGAGTTACAGAGATTCTTCTACTGGATCGGAACAAACTGGGACGTCTTTAATCCTCAATAATCTTCATCTCAAAGTGAAAATCTTTTTCCAAACCAGCAGCTAAAGATCTTTAACTTCTTTTCTACGTCTCTTCTACATATTTAATAGAGCAGAGTAAAATCTGCTCCAGATTATGGATCGTTTCATAAAATCACCCTTTTTATAATTTCAGTTTTTGTCTGCAGTATTTATGTTTGCTAGAAACAAACAAAGTTCTTTATTTCCTTAAAGCATCTAACCTTCAAGAGGAAGTTAGGAGCAGGAAGGTAAGAAAATAAACCCAAGAATAAGTTGGTTTACATTAAAAAAGATAATTGGTAGATAGTTGGACTCACATGCTCAGATACAATCATCTCATCTATTGTTTACAGTGTTTGGCTAATAGTCAGGGAAAAAATTAATGAACTGAATATAAACCCGAAAGATGAAAGATGTGATCTAAGAAAATATCAACATTAAAATGTCCTTAAAGTAAATTCAATTCCGGGATAAAGAACAAATGTTTTCCTCCAATTTGAAGAGTTTGGTTGCTCAGATGATCCCAGAGAGATTAAAGCTGTGCAGTAATCCAGGGTTGGCTGGTTTTGGGGTTGTGGCTCATTAATATTTGCAGATCGTTTCACAAATCATTTCATATCTAAAGCTGCTGTCACACCTTGATGGTTTAGACCAGCGTCTGCCTGAAGTAAGATAAATCTGGCAAAAACGCTGGAATACGTTATGAACACGCTGAAACACACTGGCACACGTCAACATATCCCGTCGTATTCCAGCGTCTGCCATCCATGGGCCATCAGTTCCAGGTCAGTTATCTGATGGTTGTATAATGGCGT